AGCAGTGCCCGTGCGCGAAATAGCTTCAGAAAAAAATATATGAATTTTAGGTAGTGCGAGGAGTGTCATTAACGCGTGTAATGTTGCGTGCCATGAGCATAGTCACACAAGACATAAAAACATATGAATTGTACAAGAACTGTTTGGTCTAAAGGTCCATCAATCACTAGGCACGTAGGCATAATAGTTATCAACAACATCAACCATGTGTGCTCCTGCGCAAGTGTACGTGTTGCCTTACAAACCCGTAGTGGGTACCTCACCAACTCGCAAAAATAATTATGTCATAGTGGGCACTTTGCAACTGTACTTGCAGTTGGTATTCTAGGAGAGCTTGAAAGGGCTGGTTTACAGGTGCACAGATGCTTCTTTCCTTGTGGGAAAGTTTAGGTGCCCACCAGGAAGCGAAGTCAGGCTAGCGATTGAGAAGGCGATGCAAAAAGGATCCATTTACGTTATCACATTTTACTCTTGAAGGCAAAGCTCAAGTGCCCTCAAATATTTTGGCAGGCAAACCTGAGCACTCTGTATTTGTTTCCTCATCTTAAGAGCAGGTCATGTGCCTGTATTGTAGGCACAATGTTTAGCATCTCACTATGGTTTTGTTTTTCCATATAGCTCCCAATCTTTGTTCTACACAATCACCATGGCATTTGCGAAAGTAGTGAAAGTTCATTGTATAATAGAACTTCATGTTGCAGAGACTATATATACGAGTCCTTGACACCGCATAAGCATGCCTGGACGTTTTACAAGAAACAGCAATGAGATGCCATGCAACTACAACTGCACTTAGACATCGTATTAGTGCCTCATGTGTATGGTTGAAGTTCATTCGTACTTTAAATAACTGTGCAAGTAGCGTTAAGTTTTCCAAGTGTAGCTCATTTTATTTGAGGCAAGATAATGTTGGAAACATCTTTTCTGATATGAGTAGGCAAATACCTAAATGCTTGGCACATAGAATTGGAATTGCAAGGAAAGTAGCATAAGAGGAACCAGTTAATTTTGAAGTTACCAGTTACTGTTATAGGTAACTATAATAAAGTTCATTTTTTACTGAAGTACTAAAATAATTGCAATTGATTACTTTTGTGTTCGAATCTTGTGTACTGTTGGTACATTTGTACATTTTTCACTGAAGTACTAAAGTAATTGCGATTGGTTACTTTTGTGTTCAAATCTTGTGTACTGTTAGTACATTTGTAAAAATATGTACATATCGTGAAAATTCATTGTCCAGGGAATGTCGCTGGAGCCAGTGTTCCAATGGGAGGACCCATCTTCGTCAGGATGGCAACTGCCTTACTTAGAAGTAGTTCTATATGTGCCTTGCTCACTCTTTCCCAACCTGAATTGAGGAGGAAAAGCGTAAGCTAGTGCACAAAGCTACCTTTTTCTCCATGAGAAAAAAGAATGACCGGGAAAGGGGTCGAGCAAGCAGACAGCCTTCCTAATGCTTTTTCACTCGTGCTTAAAAGTATGCAAACAACTGGACTGGAAAGAACTAGAAATAAAGATTAACTATCTATACCGTAAGAACCTGCAGTTTGTAGGTGCCATGTGCTCTTCAGCAATATCGCTGACATTAGTTACAAGTGATTGAGACATCGAGAGGCAAAGTGTTGAAGGGACCAAACAACTGCCCCGAACATGAAATGAGATGACTCCACTGATAAAAAGATTGTTCTCAAACCAACCCTGTTTTTTTCGCGAGAGGTAGACTTATATATTTTTTTTCATCATTGAAAGTCTTGAAAAATAACCTGTGGCATCTCTGGTGGCAAAAACATACCGATCCGATGTACCTGGCCACGTGGTCGTTGATGGCTGATAGCAATTACGATTTTTTTTTTAGTATTGAAATATTTTTTTGTTTATTGATATTCAAAGATTACTCCATAAAAATATACATATAGGCCTACATTAGTAGTATGCATTGAAGTGGCGCTACTCTCTCGTGATGTAATGATCCCATGCTCGTCGGCACATGTTGAGCAACTATTAAGCGAGCTTATGCAAGCATGCACATAGTTTCCAGGTTGCTAAGATTTTGGAGTGACATAGTTTTGCTAACTACACTTAGTCTCAGATTAGTCTCAGAAATGATGCGCACTGCTACTCGGTGCAGCCGTGCATGTGCATAGTGACGTTTTCAATGACCTGAATTGGCTTGTATATCGAGAGAACGACGACGCTAGGACAAGCCACCTATGACACAGTCGCAGGCTTGGATGCAGATTCACGCAACACAGTACAAATACAGGGAAGGTGTATAATGCCACATCATCTCATTGTAACAGCTTGATATTTTCAAAAATAGTTCAAAAGCTCAAAATAAAGGTGGTTAAGGGGTGATGAGATTTGCGTTAATCTGTAGGCTAGGGTAATGAAATTTTTTGTTTACATGTAGGCTTTTATGCTGATTTCAAATGTGTAATTAGTTTTGTGGGAAGTTGCACAGTTTTCGTTTTGTGTCATGACGATGTGTAAAATATAGTTTGTTTTGGACAATCTTTTTATGCCATTAAACTTTTATGGTTGTAAGCCATCAATGACTTATATTGCTCCTCATTAACTATAGAATGCTAATAACTATCAAGAAAGTGTGTATAAAACATTTTAATGGACAAGAAAAATTGTAATGTGAGAATTTTTGGAGTCCCCAGCCCACAATAACTTACTTTAGGTCTGTAATGATTTTACAGGTGATATCATGTTTTAGAAGAGATAGTTGCACCCTTCACATGTTAAGGAATATGTGGGCAAAATTTCATCCTGATTGGGCTATTAGAAGTACCAAAATTGTGATGTCCAAACTCAAGAAGTTGCCCAAAAATGGATCTTGAGAAAAACTCATTAAATGTATAAGTGAAAGCTCGCCTATGTGGAAAAAATATGTTTTTCAACATGATTTCTTCCATGATGAGAGCTTGGCAATCATGGTTATTTTGAGTATGTGGCTTTAGCAAATCACTGATGCAAAATGCAATGGCAAGCAGTCAGGTGACGGTTTCCAGAGGACCCTAGACAGTGGGCATTTTTTAGTTTTTCAACGTGGGAGCGGCCCGCGATTCTACCCCTATAAAACGGGGGTAGAATCCTTCAGGACCCCAATAAAAGTTTTTCATCCATCCATCAGTAGCTGCCTTGTGCTCTTTAAAAGAGATTTTAACCTACTTTGAGTTTATTCCATCTTCAGTTTTTTTGCTGTGAAAGTAAACACGCAGAGCCTGTGAAAGCAAACAAAAATGAAAAATATATAATTTTTGATCAAAACTTGCGTTTTTCGACTCGCATCTTCTCTTAAGCGTAGTTACAGGAACACTTGCAAAATCACGGGAAGAGATGGCCGCATCGCTATCAATGCTCAGCATTGCTGGAGGAAAGGTAGGTCAGTGTTTAAAGCCTTTCAGATAGAAAAATAATGCTTATAAAATAACTACATGCTACACTTAATAGGAGCACACTACCATCATGGTGATGTGCTCCTGCGGAGTCCAGCGGTATCTCTGTCTGATTAAAGGGGTATGGTACGGTAAATGGTATATGTCAGTTTTAGCGTAATATCTTAGAAATGGCTGCAAGTATTCCCATAAAATTTTACGTGTCAAAAAAAAAAAAAATGCCACTGGGTATCAAGTGACACTTTTTTTGTATGCCTAGGTTGCTTATCCTTCCTATGGCCCACTCCCAAATTTCGAAGGGGTTCACTTATTCAATGTACCTTTTCTCTGCAACAACACCAAAGAAATGTAACTATATTCAGCCGTGTTTTTGTAGAGACTCATAGGTTACATTTGAACTAAAAAAATATAACTTTTCTTGTAAAAATTTTGTGAAAAAAATAAAAATACTGCTTCCACAATGCCACGGAGGGTGTGTAACATTGTGCATTTTTTTACAGCTTCACTTTTTATGAAATCAGCAATTTTTTTAGTTCAGATTGTTTCTAACGTGTTGTAGTTCATGCGTACAAAGTTTCATCGAAATCGATTCAATACGTTTTGAGAAAAGGTACATTGACGTTGAAAAATGTACAGAAAATCCAAGTAGAGAAAAATGTGTGCATACTACTTACGCCATAGGGCGCGCGGCGCACTTCAGCGCGGCATTTAAACCACTTGGAGTGGCCACTCGACGTGAGGCTTCCACAGGTTTGTTCCTTAGAGTGCAGTGGATTTCGTGATGTCGAAATTGCAAATTCGATATTTTGGGCGGTTTACCCTACCATACCCCTTGAACTCACAAGCAAACTGATGAAACAAATGTGGTTCAGTAAACCAAAGGGACATAATTTTAGTTTTTATAACATTCAAAGGCAGTTATTGAAGTAACATAGCTGATGCAGGCTAGGACAAGTAAAACAGTGTTTATTTCAAAGACGTACGATCGTCGTCTTCGTCATTCTACAAAAGGCTGTATGCACGCGGTGTGCAGATCCGCCCAGACAAAATTCCGCAGTTACCACATTAAGGGGTTAAGCACCGGCATAACATTGACTTTAGCCTGATGAAAAAGCTGTCATGAAACAGTCATGAACAGCTTTAGCTCCACTTTTTTAGATAGATGGTGCCATAAGCCAAATGAATTACACTTCCCAATGTGACCTATAACCGTTTGACAGTCTAGCCTTAGTTCTTGCAGGCCGATTTTTTATGCCTCTTACCACAAAAACCTAATGGACTGCTGCGAAATGCCATAAGATTTCAGACTATTAACTGGTAAACACCTGTTAACCATACAAATATCACCAATGCCTGCATTGTCACAGCATGGTCATTGAAATGTCTTCAGAAAAAGAAGGCACTCTTTCTGCAAGCTGTCACATTTATGATCACAGGATTACTCGAAGAATGACCGAGCAAGCAGGTATCACTAGTCATGAGAAATCTTGGCTCCTTTTTTTTGAAAGGGCTCAACTGAGTAGAGAGAAAAATTTGATTCCTGTTTGCTTTTCGAAGTAATTGTCTATGAGAGAAGAAAAAAGGTCTTCCACGTGCTTGGATAAAACATTTATTTTCAAAAGGTGTCTCTTCTTTGTTCTTGTCTTTGTTTTCCTGTAAAACCAACAGTATGACTTCATCGAGAAAGCTGAGGGCAGGAGGATGGCAATATGCTGTACTAAAAATTAAAAAGAAGTGCATTATGCAGACGTACAGTTTTGGCTGCACATAGTCGAACAAGCTACACTCTGCAGAGCTGCAAGCCAGGCTGTCACAGAAGCAGATGCACTATCTACAAGGCCATTACATAAAGCAGCGGTCTCAAAAACATGGTTTGCAGACACCTTGCTAGCAGCCCAAGCTCACGTGACAGTCTTCGTTCCATATATTTTTTTTCAGTAAGTCTATTCATCGACCACATAGATGTGATTGCCACTGATTGGTCTCAATCATTCCTTTCTTGGGGCACCTCATGTGGTCACCATGCTGTAAAGCATAACTGTAGAACATGAACTCTAATAATTCTGCATCAGCATCTCGATTACAGTTATTCTGGAGATCAGTATTGATATCTTTCAGAAATCAATTAAATCCCCTTTTCAGAAGTAACCCATATATTACATATGAGAAATGCTTGCTTTCAAATGGCAACGTCAGCTGACACTTTGTTCAAATTAAGCCTCCCCACCCACTGCCACTCTGACCTGATTCACTGTCCCAGCCCTCATGAAACTAAACTTCGTCACTGCGGACTGCTGGCAGAGATGAGTTTGAGACCCCCAACATTGAGCTTGAGTTGTGCCATGCATTGCACATGCATGGCAGAACTTGATTAAGCACAAACATTTTAAGACTCTTCAAGCTTTCTCCACCTCAACATTTCTGAAATTTCTCTGGTCACATAATTCGCTAATCTACATATAATGCTAGTCTACAAATCCAAAAGTTGATATGGCTTTTATGAAAGACCACTTCAATATCCTTATCACAATAAGCCCACTAAAACCCTTTCAAGGTCGATTTTTTTGGCAAGATGAAACCCAAAAATGTACTTCTTTATTGCTGAATTAAGTTCTCTGGATGAATCTATTTAAGAAAGATATTGTCAAACATTGTTTTGGGTAACCATAAAGTGATAAAACAATCACTTGTATTGCTACATACACATGGTTTATTCGTAACAATGAGATAAACTGTAAAAAAAAAAACTACACTACTGTTCAAAATTGTGAGTTGAAATAAAGGTCTCTGTAGTTTGCAGACTTACAAAAATAAGTGCGCGAAGTGGCATTAGGTGGAAACATGGAGAAAAAGTCGCTTTTGATCCAGTCAGCATCATCTCACCGTGCATGCTCTCAATTTCCAAGTAAAATTAATTCGAGAGTAACTCTTCGCATGACGGGCTGTTATTTACTGAATCAGATTCTTATTTGGCAGTTAAGCGGCAGTACGGAGGAATCCCCACTAGACTCACGGCAGAAAAACCGGCGTGCACTTCTATATTAAAATCAAACTGCGCAGGTGAGTGCACTTAAGAAAACTGTGTAGTTGTGAGTGCGTCCGGAAAGCAAAAAATTGTCCGAAACCTATAATAGTCCTTTGTCTTATTACAAACCACAGTGCAAGTGGAAATGCAGCAGTCTTGCAGTTTATTTTTCCCTGAATATGTTCTGAATACTAAGTTATGCTATCAAACATGCACAATTTCTAAATTTAGCACTCATTATTGAAAAGAGCTATAACACCTCAAGCAAACATTTTCTTTACTAGTAGAGGACTGTACACACTATGAAAAATGAAAGATTATGCTTACCTTTGAACGTGCCAAGGTTAGATCACACTATGCAAGAAAATAACCTTGCCTGCTGTATTAAGGGACACTATCTTCTAGGTTTTCAGGTTCTGATGAGCTGGACTTCGCATGTTTCTTCAAATCGGAGGTGAAAAGCACCTGAAAATCAAGCAGTTTCGTTATTAAAAATGCTGTAAAACTTACAAATGGCAAGTCAACACTTACAGACTGTGCCCAGCCAGCATAGGGGCCAAAGCGTTTCCTGAAGTGGTCACCTAAAACAGTCAACAAGAATATTTCTTAAAAGAGATTTATTACTGAGCCTGTTATTTCATTCTCAGCTAAAAACCTTATGAAAATAACTAAAGTGGCAATTATATAGAATATATCTTTAAATAACATAATTCAAACAATACAGCACACCAGTAGAAGATATTTGGATAAATATCTGTGGTTCTCCAAGTAAAAATGTTTATTTTTGAATGCTTTCAACATGCCTGAAAACATGGACAAGCATATTGTAAGAACATAGTGACAATACTGCACAATAAATTTTCCAAGGCGCTCTTTTGCCAGCATGACACCAAGAAATTAATACATCTATATCCCTCATAATTAGTGACATGCAAACCTCACTTACCAATTTCTTTATAGGCAACTGCTGAAAGATTCTTCAGGGACTTAAGGTGAGGCAGGTAGTGCCGAGTAGCCATGCGCCAGACATGTACATCAATTGGCACTGCCTCTGTCTTATCCAGAGCCATCAAGCATACACAGTCAGCCACCTGGCACACAGTAACACATAATGAACAATTAATACAGAAACTTATTACTATGTCAATACACAAAAATAAATGCTAACATCGACACTGCCACTAACAGACTTTCAACTTTCATCATTGGCACATGGCAGCATATTCACCCATATCAACGTTACAGCATAACGATACCCTGTTGCTACTATTACAAACACCAGCAACCACAACTATGCTCTCCCTCAGGCTGGTTGCAGCAGAGTGGAAACTTGGAGGTGTAAGCAAGTCATATTCTCATGCGGCAAAACACAATTCTAAATATAATATCCTTACAATATCGGGATAGTTGAGACGTTTACATTATGCCTTTAATTATTGTATTAGTAAACATCGCCAGTAATTGTGGTAACAAAGAAACCTGGCAGTGCCCATAAAGACATAACTGCCTGCTACGATTCGGATTCACACATCCTACATACCCACTGTCCTGACAGCAGTAAATGAATGATAAAATCAGCTATAGCTTTGTGTCTTGTCACACTGAGGACAAAGCACTACGTATATCTTGTCCCTATTATTGAGATCAGTTGTTTGTTCAGCCACGTCTTTTAAGCTTAGTCTCAGAAAATTTGAGAGATCTTCGACACAATGTAATATGGTAATCAGTGGTCTGTTGTCCAAGCATTGAGACAAAAATATTGTAACAGAAATAAAACGAGAGTTGATAACAGAACGGCTTTCAGCCTGACAGTCAAGATCGAGCCGAACGTCTTTGTCCTCTTTTAGCAACAGTAAATTGTCTGCCACACATAAATATGCATAATGATGGAACTGTAGGCGCACAGCAGTCAGATATGTAACGTATGCACTTGTCAAAGTGAAGTAAGTGCAAGCATAAATTTATAATCTGCAAGTGCCACAGCGCATATACCAACGGCTTGATAAATTCGCGGAGGAAGACATGAGCTTCAATCGGTGCCACCATGTTTTTCCCCCCCCCCCAGGGCTGCTGTCTGCTTGCTTCACTCACCCAATGCATGCAAACGGACACGATGAAGACGCCAAGTAGTTGATGTGGCATGAATGAATACATCTTGAAATACTTTCACACTTTTTATTGGCTCACCAGCCCTGCAGCCTCCACATTGCTGCAACTAACTTGCGAGATGAATAGTACAGGTCTGTCCACTGTTAGAGGAAACACGTGAGCGCGTGGCCTGCACTCGGCGGCGGCTGCATACAGCACCATCGACCGACAGTGGAATAAAACACGTTCGCTTTCTCCGTCATCTATTGCCAAACACGATAACGAGTCATGGCCGGTAGGCAAGCACTATTAGATTACGCTCTTTTCCGCTAGCACAAAGGGCGATGCCTGCGGTGCGTCGGCAGCTGCCTACAAAGTGACCATGTCGGCAGCTGCCAACAAAGTGACCATGGTGTGCGAGCACGGCGCAAGCTGCAGGCATCGCCCAACATTGCTAGTTGAGCGAGCGGTGAGGGAGTGTAATCTAGCAGCGCTTGTCAACTGGCCATGAATCATTTTCTTGGCTGGCAATAGATGACCCCGAAAGCGATAGTTTTTCCCTTGGCTGTCACTGATGATGCTGTAGGCACCGCCGCAGAGCGCAGGCCACACCCTAACATGTTCCCTTTAACAGTGGACTGACCTGTACACATAGGTATATGCAGTTTACTGAACTCCGTTATGTTTATCAGGATGAAATGCTTTGTCATTATTAAAACCTGCTTATTGCTTTCATATGCTGAAAAGCCTACACAGGTAGCACCAAAGCAGGGAAAAGTGTGTTTGCACCTAGCACATGGTGCAGCAACAGTGCTCAGTGTTATGAAAATGCTAAATGCTCTGGTGTTGTCTGCTAGGTGTACTCCTTGATGTAACCTTTCTAAGCCAGTCAGTCATCTCAAAACTAGAGTAGCCACTGACATTTACAATAAGGACAAAACATTATAATTTGTCCTTAGAGTGAAGTCAGGCTAAGTGAGGTATATGCAGTTTACTGAACTCCATTATGTTTATTAGGATGGAATACTTTGTCATTATTAAAACCTGCTTATTGCTTTCATATGCTGAAAAGCCCACACAGGTAGTACCAAAGCAGGGAAAAGTGTGTTTGCACCTAGCACATGGTGCAGCAACACTGCCCAATGTTATTAAAATGCTAAATGCTCTGGTGTTATATGCTAGGTGTACTCCTTGATGTAACCTTTCTAAGCCAGTCAGTCATCTCAAAACTAGAGCAGCCACTGACATTTACAATAAGGACAAAACATTATTTATAATATGTCCTTAGAGTGAAGTCAGGCTAAGTGACGTCTCACTTGACCTTTTTTTTTGTTACTGTCACAGCAGGGAGCAAGTAACACAGAAAAAACTGAAACAAATTAAGCAGCCTGGATGCTGCCATGTTCTTATATAGTCCCAGAAAACTTGGTGGAGTCAGAAAAACTCCACAGAAGCACAATCATAGCAGCTGCTATCAGTAACAGTGAGACACTGATTGCAAGCTTTGGCATGTAAGAGCATAAATTTTAAATTATCAGGTGTCACTGCTTTGCAGAGCTACGAATATGGACAGAGAGCTCTCAGATGATCAGATGACCTCATTAGATGTGCACTACTTAGGAAATAATTACACATAAAATTACTATTAAAGGAGCACTGACATTATTTTTAGGCATTGCAAAAGGCACATATTTCGTTTTCTTGGCAAGCAGTGTTCACACTCTCCCCACACCGCGGCCAGGAAACACAGATAAAATATTTTAGTTTGCATTTAAAGTTTTCATCGCTCAGAATCTGCAAGACAGCCTCATCACAATGGACATTATCATGATTAATCAACACAGTTTATTGTTTTTACGAACTCCGCATTTTGCATGTGGCAGAAATCACTATAGTAGTCAATGGATGACAATTCATTTGTCATTGTTAATGTGCACCCCCTGCTAATGACAGCAGCTACTAGCATGTCACGAGTTGCTGACCCTACATGACTTAAACCAATGTCGGACTGCGTGACAAGCGACTATGAAACTGCCCCTTTGAACTGAAACGAAAGTGTTTTTTTTTAAGCTAATGGTTTTAAAGATATTGTAAGAAATAAGAGACACAGAGACAGCACCGGATCTTGGGTCAGCTGTTCTGGTCTTCGTTTTCCTCTACCTCGCCCAAGCTTTCCCGCATGCCGGAAGCCCAGTGTCATTCTTCATCACACTTATCCATGACTGCGAGCGTGCAGAGATGTCGACAGTGCTTCTGGTCAGTGGCTGCATCGCAGTGATTAGTCACGGCCACGCTGCGACTCTGCTTGGGTATCTGCCTCTGTGTTGTCTGACGGCCAAAATAGACTGTCGCTGTGGTTGGTCTATTCCATGTGGTGCCTTATGAAAACTTGTCGACGATTTTTCCGGTGGGCGGTGTTGGCTACAGCAGGGTGGCCTGTCCTGACCACACTGCAACTTGTTTGGGATAACTGCCCAAGTGCCTCCAGTCCGTGACACCGCTTGAATTGCTGTAGCCCGTCTCGGCCACGCTGGGGCTTAGACTGAAACTTTGTCAATGCAGTCTTTGACGAGCGGTCTCAGGCATGATGCGGCAACGCATGAGAAGCTGGTTCATTTGTCTCTGTTGGACGAAGTTGGCTGTTTTTGCATGGTCGCATAACCGACAGGCGCTGGCGCTGTCGTGCTGTCACGAATAGTTTTTCCAGAGCGGTTGCCAATACTGAAGGCCTGCGACAGCAGCAAGACAGTCTGATTGGTGGTCGGATGCATCTTTGATGGCCTCTCCCACTCATGCGTGTTTCATCTGCGCAGTGCAGATGGCACAGAAGACGTGGCAAACAACCCCGGTCACACTGATGAACCGCGACGACGGGGTGAGCTTCAGCTTTGGTTTGCGACGTTTCCAATGTGTAGTTTTTCTCGTAGGCATACAAGTGGGGTTTCAACCAGAGGATCTTGATAAACAGGTGCGCACAGATGAGCCACCCTGCTCAGCGACCACAGCTTTGGAGAGAGGCTAGGACTATACGGGCAAGTCTTCCATGATAATTACACTCGCCGCTTTAGCTTCCATGTAAGGCACCGTGTTCCGCAGTAGGTCACTGGCTTCGCGTGGGGGGGCGCCTGAGCTACCGCACACCTGAATCCCGGTGTCGCTCTTCATCACACTACATTCAATGCATTCAGAGGCAACACAATACTCCTTTCAGGGTTTCCAACACTGGTGTTTTTATTTAGAGTAACAATACAAGAAATTCTCAATTAAGTGTCAGTACCACTATAAATATGAACCATCAGCAGTAGTGGTGGTAGTACAGGACACCACAGATAAGGATTGATGAATCTATATTATAAGATTATCCTTTTAGAAATCTCCCATTTAAATGTGTGTTTTTGTGCTACTGGTGCAGTCATGAGATGAGCTGAAGCAAAAGTGCGATGATTAGAGGTGGCCAAATAATTTCTCAAAATCATACCTTTGCACCAACGCCAGGAAGTTCAATGAGTTGGCGATGTGCCTCAGCATAAGGGGCAGCTCTAAGCGACTGCAACCACATAGGATCACGTGCAGCAAGTGCCTTGGCCGTGCCATGCACATATTTTGCTCTGTATCCAAAACCAGCAGCCCTCAGTTCTGCCTCAACCCCTTCTCGATCCATTTGTGTTGCCTGTGAGGACATACCATCGTGGCTTCATTTTATAACATATAATAAGTATTGCAAATGTACCTCTGCTTGAATAGGTCACACAGCATCATCAGTGCCGTTTAGCACTTTTGGTTAGTTTCACGTTTGAATATCAGGGGCACAGGAGATTTTATTTAAAAAAAAACATATTGGGTGTCTCAGCTAACTATGACAAAAAATTTATAAGTTATATTTTATTCATTAGCAAGTATTAACCGATCAACTCACATTAATTACCTGACTGTTTAATCATTGCTTTAGTCAGTAAAATATTGACTTTAATTTGCAGGCCACCTCAAATAACCTCTGAATCAAGCATTTATTTTGTGCTGAAACTTGCCTGGCTGTATATTCTGAGAAAAAAGAACAGCCCGCGAGACACACCAAGTACTCAAGCCCTTCCAAGCATTTATTGGTTGATACACTGCTGCATTTATCCATCGCCACATTGTACAGGGCTTGATGATCTATTATAGATGCGGCATGAAAACTGACTGCCGACGCATCCATCGAAGAGCATCAAGCCCTGAGCAACGTGGCGATGAATGAATGCAGCCGTGAAACCTGCCCAATCCTTTCAGAATTAATAATATCTAGCATCATAAGCAAGTATTCACACCTTAACACTAATTATATGTATGCGTAATTAGTGGTTATTGGATGCTGAGTAAATATGCTATCAAGTTTTAATGAGTCATTCTAGTGCATTATACAAGATTGATTCTGTGAAATCAGTAAGGGATTATGGAAAAAAATATCTTTCTTGAAAGTCATTAAAATAATAATGCAACACATATTAGCTATTGCAATGAACAAAGCAACACTGAAGCAGAAAATTTTAATCATCTGACGTCTTTGGAAAGGAAGAATGTTGTAACAACTTGTAGAAACAAGAGCACATATCATACTTTTGAACTTATGATGACAGGCTCAGGCAACACCTTTTTTCATATGCTCTTTAGATCTTTACTTAATTTTGCAATGTGGATAAAAGAAATTAGGTCTTCGAGATTTGCCCCTATCGTTTGAAGTGTCTAATTTAACTGCAAACAGTGTCTTGGTTAGAAAACTGGGCAGTGATATATAATGTGAATCATTCTTTGCCTTATTTTTGGGCCCTTTGTGGTGGTAGGCTCTTATCTAGTAAAAATTTTGAGTGAAGGTGTAATTGAGCATCTGTTTTATGGAAAAGCAGCGAGATGCTTTTAAGAAAATTGTGGCACGTATATTTTTCTTGCTTCAAAACACATTAGCTCAGTGAAATGTTTCACACAAGTCAAGTGTCCGTTTAACTTCTCTTTTGGCTGCTGATGGCTTGAACGTTAAACGGCACCTCATTCAAGAATGGGCCCACATGACCTGCAGGTCGCGGAATCGAATCCCGGCTACATTGGCCGCATTTTTTATAGTAGTGAAAAGGCTTGAGGCTTGTATGTTTAGATATAGGTGCATGTTAAAGAATTTAAGGTGGTCAAAATTTCTGAAGCCCTCCACTATGGCGTCTCTCATAACCATATGATGGTTTTGAGATGTTAAAACCCAACAATTATTAAAATTAACCCACGTTCTCTGGTGGTTTCTTTGTGACATCTAGTACTGTTAAATGGTTGTTCTGTGATGTTGTACTGCCTTTAGAATAAGCCTAGACATAACAGGTTTTAATATTCTTCACCAAAGTACACAAACCATTGTTGTTTTAAAGGGACAGTAATGAGAAAAACAATTTGTCCCACATTAGTCAACAACCTTTTCACAATACTGAAACCAAAACTCTTGTACAAAGAAGAAGCTTGAAAGGTGAGAAAATATGCATAAAAAAATACCTGCACATCACCGCGAGTTGGTCCAGTTAAGTTCCTGCACCAACTTGCTGTGATGCAGATTTTGATGTCTACCAAGACCTATATAGTTCTTAATAAAAATCAAGTACATCATCATCTCAGGGAGCACCAGAGACTTGATATATAAAGTATTAGGAAATTCTGTTGAGCCAATGTGGGAAAAAAAAAACACCACTGAAATCTCTGACGGCTGCGTAAAATTCATGAGCAGAGATTCTGGTGCGAAAATTAGAAATTAAACTTCGAAATTTATTTTTGCTCTTAAGAAAACCTACGATGATTGAAGGGACACTAAAGATAAATGTGCTGAAAAAGCGGTCCATAAACCTCGTAAGTGCTTATTTTAAAGTAAAATCATGTTTTAGTGGTCAGAATTCCATTAGCGCACTTCAAATTTCCTGCCTGAAGTCGTCCGTTGCACGTCACTATTGCCGTGCACAACGTTGCCAAGCTTTACTGCGTGGCTGCCGACACTAGTTGCAGCAGAACGAAAGAAGCGGGAGCCACAGCAGCAACAACGGCCATTGAACAATTTCTTGCCATGGCTTCCGAGATGGCAGGTGCGTTTGATTCAATTAGGCCCCACTAGATGGCACGACCTGTCCAGTTTAACCAGGCGAAAACTTTTAAACCACTCGCGTCATTCCCCGTAGTAACGTCCGGCGATTCTTTCTTACATGAATCCAACAGAAACAAACAAGCAGCATTTTATTATATTTCTTGGTGCACGGAAGGTTCTTTATTTAGTGCAGCTAGTTCGATTACAAGTGATTAAATGTAGGCGATAACCCTGACGTCATTGGGATTATTTTGCAAATGTCCTACTCATGGCCCAAGTGCTCTGTTGCATTTACCTTAATTTCTTGTCAAGTAGGGCACTGCTGTTGATATTATTGTTTTCGATGTTGTCATACATTGAGCTTTCACTCTGACATAAACTGTTGTTTGCCTTTAGTGTCCCTTTAAGTTAAAGACAGTAGTGTTTTCATAGAAGAACTTAACAGTTTAAATTGATTCACTGTTTCTGTTTCATGTCTCCTAATACTGACACATCTATGGTCTGTCACCCGCTAAAGCTTACGGGATCTGCAGCGCATGGCGGAGTGGCAAAAAACTTCATTGCTGTGCAACCTACCATGACGCGGTGCCGTGTTAAGGCTATCGAACGCGACCTAGGCCATTAGCAACGACGTGTTTAGAGAACTCGCTGTTGCAAAATGTAATTGCGGAGTCTGTGGTCTCAAAAGCCTCAACACTGTAGCGTGTGCATCAGTGTAGGTGACGCAGCAATGCGGTTTTCTATCACTCTATCATGTGCTGCAGATCCCATAAACACCCATGAGCAAAGTATATGAACCATTGCCGTCCACATTCTTTTGCCGTCTGGTGGTGAGCCATCTGCTGTCGAAAACATTTCTCTGATAAATTTTTCAACAACAATGCTTTCAACAGCAGATGGCTCACCACTAGATGGCGATATCGACACGTGCTCCCGTGGTCTCTATACTTTTGCTCATGCATGTACACATGATTGTATAACACTAAATTTAAATTGCACATGACATGACAACCCACGCTTCCCTTGGTAATACTTTATATATAATTCAGTTCACTACAAATTTAGAACTCAAAAAATAGGCATGTAACAAAGTCACACGTAGTCGCAAAGTAAAATTCCTACTTTTCCCATCATACATAATAGTCACTGTGATCATGCTGCAGCCTTGCCCTGCATAACCTCGTCACACATAACTTGTCTCCTTAAACATGTTGGTCTACCTCGTAATGCTTTACGAAACTCCAAACATTGATAAACTGCCAGATACCTCCAAAATGCTTCAACTAATGTAGATTCCCAAAGCACGGAGGGCTTGCATAATTTTTTTTTGTGAAGCAAATTTTCGTAAGCTGCTGTGCCAAGGTTCTTAGATGATGCTGACACACTTAAAGTTTTTGCCTCAACATTTGTATACCTTTGACCTTAGGTCTCGAGTACAGCTTATTATGTATGTTTTATAACCCTAGCTTTTGCCCTGCACTAGAACGTGCATTAGCTACACATTTCGAACATTAGGTTTAATATAATATGCAGGGTTTAGCATCCCAAAACCACAATATGATTACAAGGGACGCCGCAGTGGAGGGCTCGAGAAATTTCGACTACTTGGTGTTTAAGCTTTAACATGCACTGAAATCCCACATCGATCTCTGCCATTTCACCTCCACTGAAATGGGACCGCCGTAGCTGGGATCAAAACCGCGATGTTCAGGTCAGCAGCCAAGCAACGTGACCGCTGATCCACCGAGGTGAACAGATGATTAGGTATCATAATAAGCCATACAAATATAGACATTTTTATAAAACGTCGATCAAAAATTACATACCGTAGGAAAGGCATAAAAGGACCCTTGTTTGCCCTCAAGAAGCTTAGTTCCATACATGGTGCACAACTTTTCAACCATAGAGCTAATGCTGAAATACAGAAAACGTGAAAAAAAACAAACAAACAAAAAAAAACAGAAAGTCATGTTATTGACCCAAAATATGAAAGTTCACATTTGAAAGAGTACTGATATAAATATTAAATAGTTTTGGATTGCTGCTCTAGATAATAACACTAGTGTCAAGAACCATAAAAAGGGTATTGTGATGCCCGGTAATGCATGAAAAAAAAAATATATATACACACACACACACACACACACACACACACAGTTTCAATGCAATTCAGTTTATTAAACAAAACATCGCCTAGGTTGCATGAACTAAAGGAAGATTATCTCAGCCTGACTAGGGTCCCTCAACCCATAATTTGCTCAGGTGTAGAGCAGCATAAAAATACAGATTTCTTTCTTTTTTTTTAGGAATACAAAAGCAAAATTCAATGAACAGAAAGGATATTTGGAACACTCACATTAAAATATAACAGCACAGTCAGCACCAATTACCCACAGCAAGATAAAAAAAATAAGTGCAGTACTGAAACCAGGAATATATTAGGTCAAAACATTAAGCACAGTACAAAATGCACACTGAAAGAAATGAGTGAATTTTACAGAATTAAACTAAAATACAAAAACACTATAATAAATATTTGTAATTGATAACATATTTAGGGCACAGTACAAGACAAAAAGTACATTTTAAGATTTTTTTTAGAATGTTTTTAGTATTACTTTGTTTTAAATGTTCACAGACTTAGATATAGTTATGGAATTGATTAGATATTTAATATGACAAGGCTTGCTTTCCATAGGTTGTCCTGAATAATGGCAGTGGAACTATTCAAAATGTAGAGAGTAGGAAGAACCACTTGGGTAGCAATGCTCCATATGACGGCCCACATTGTTTCCAATCTTTTGCCCATGTATATGATGAGCTTAAGATGTGTCCGTTCTATAACGGACACATTCTATGCTACCGTGAATAAGTTGACAGAAAAGAAATAGGAGTGGGGTTTCTTATACATAATAGTATCGCTGGCAACATAGAGGAATACTGTAGCATCATTAAGAAGGTGGCAAGTATTGTAATTAAGTTTAACAAAAGCTGAAAGATGGTGCACAAACCTACGTGCCTACATCGAGCCACGATGATCATATAGTTGAATGCTTCTACAAAGACATTGAGCCAGCAATCAATTAGGACACAGTATACTACAATGATGGGCGACTTTCATGCCAAAATAGGCAAGAAACAGGCCAGAGACCATGCAGTGGGGAAATATGAAATCTGCTCTATAAATGCCAGAGGGGAGTTATTAGTAGAGTTTGCAGAATGTAATAATTTATGGATTTTGAATACCTTTTTCAGAAAACGGGCTAACTGTAAGTAGACGTGGCAAAGCCTTAAAATGAAATGGACTTCATTATGTGTGCACACCCAGGCATTGTACAAATTGTAGAAGTAGCTGGCAAGACCCGAAGCAGTCACCAATGAATGATAAGAGCTTCAATTCACCTAGATTTAAAAAGCAAATGCATACTGATATGCAAAAAGCCAATTAATGAGCTAGCAGTGAAAGGGAAAGTACAGGAATCCAGAGTTTTGCTTCAGAATAGATTCACGGTTCTAAATAAAGTAACGGGTGTTAGCGTTAACACAATGAATGATAATCTTACTAGTATCATCAAATATTATACAATGGAAGTCGGAGGTAGAGTCACTAGACAGGACACAGGCAAATTATCTTAGGTGATGACAAACCGTGAAAGCCTCAAATGAAACCGACAAAATAGAGCTAGTGGAGCTTTCGAAGTTAATCAATAGGCGTAAGGTAGCCGACATCAGATGGTATAACAAAGAATCTATAAGGCTGTAAAAATCAGCAGAGGTCTAGACGCTGCGAAGGCAAACTTGTGCACAAGCAAAAATCAGATGTATGCATTAAGGAACAAGGAAGGTAATGTCATAACCAATATGAATAGGATAGCTGAGGTGGCGGAGGAGTTATACAGAGAGCTGTACAGAAGCTGAATCAACCAGGATGATACCATAAGAAGCAATAATAGCCGAGAGGGATTTGACATCCTACCGGTAACAAAAGGGGAAGTAATGAAAGCCCTAGAAGGAATGCAAAGAGGCAAAGCCGCTGGTGAGGATAAGGTAACAACGGACCAGCTGAAAGATGAAGGAGAAATTGTTTTAGAAAATTAGGACACCTTACATACAAAGGGTCTCTTGACGAGAAGGGTACCAGAATCTCGACAGAACGCAACATCATCTTAATGCATAAGAAAGTAGATGTCAAGGACTTGAAAAATTACAGGCCGATCAGCTTACTGTCCGTTCTTTACAAACAATTCACAAAAATAATAGCTAATAAAATTAAGGCATCATTAGAGTTTAATCAGCCAATGAACCAAGAAGAATTTGGTGCACGCTACTCCACAATAGATCATATTCATACTATCAATCAGATAACAAAGAAATGTGCGGAATACAACCAGTTCCTATACATAGCTTTCATAGATTACCAAGAAGGCGTTTGATTTAGTCGAGACATCAGCAGTGACGCAAGCACTATGGAATCAGGGCATCGATGAACCCTACATAAACATACTGGAAGAAATCTAGAGAATCCACAGCCTCCATAGTTCTCCATAAAGAAAGAGAGAATACCAATAAAGAGGGGTGTAAGGTAGGGAGACACGATTTCTCAATGCTATTCACCGTGTGTTTACAGGAGGTTTTCAGAGCCCTAGATTGGGAAACGTTAGGCATAAGAGTTAATGGACAGTATCTTAATAGCCTGCGATTTGCAAATGTCATTTCCTTGATGAGTAACTCAGAGGACGAATTACAGCTCATTATTACTGAACTGGACACAGAAAGCAAAAGAGTAGGTCGGAAAATTAATAGTGATAATACTAAAGTAATGTACAACAGTCTCGGCAGAAAACAGCACTTTGCGATAGGTGGAAAGGCACTGGAAGTTGTAAAGGAATATGTCTACTTAGGATAGGTAATAACCACGCAGCCGAACCATGAGGGTGAAATAACTAGAATAAGGATTGGGTGGATCGCATTCGGCAAGCATTCTAAAATCATGAATGGTATTCTGCCACTAACCCTCAAGAGGAAGGCATATAACAGCTGCATCTTGCCGGTACTTACCTACGGAGCAGAAACCTGGAGGCTTACAAAGAGGGTTCAGCATAAATTGAGGACGATGCAGCGAGCGATGGAAAAGAAAATAACAGGCGTAACCTTAAGAGATGAGAAGAGAGTTGAACGACAGCCTATCACAGACCATGCAACAATGTCCAGGCTCCAGCACCAGAACTAGCTCCAGCACCAAAGCTGGCTGTGCTCCCCCCTCCATGGAAGCTCGGGCCTTTTGTCAATCACACTTGGCTCGCGCGGCGTGCAAACTTGACGTGGCAGCTGCGCAGACTGTCTCCAGCAGTAGGCACGGCTGATAAGTAACGGCACATCATATGCAACAGCGTGGAGGGTTTTGTGCGCACACCCGTCATTTTAACACATCAAGAGCTTCGCTCTTAAAATGGAGGAGTGTGTTCCCTAGGTTGCAGATTTCCTATACAGCATATGCCCTTTTTTTAAAAACTAGGTTGGTTTTTTAAGTCATGCCCCAGTCTAAGTGACAGTAATGTAGATGTGAATGAACAAAAGAGTAATATAACTGAAGCTTTAGCCAGTTTTTTTTTTAATACCACTACTTTAAGATATGACGCAGTTCTGAATCGGGGATAAAGGCCAGCTTTTCAGTGAAGTGTCATTGCAGTGCGACACTACAGGGTAACAGCAACTCGTAATAAATTTGTGGCATATCTGTCATCTACTCATGATCCACATAAACATGATAGGTGAACTGTTGTCCAGCGACTCTGATAGAGATTTCTGTGATTTAGGTGTCATGCAGGACACAGAGTTTGCAAACACAATAGAACTGTGTCGACTCCTCAGGATTACGTCCAATGCCATGGGGCTGGCTCACAGATGCTCAGTGATTAAATATAATTGAGGTTTATTTCAGTCTTTGCAGGATCCCACAAAATTGTTAAAATATCCCTCATGGCATGATAACATCAAAAACATTAAACAGCTACAGCATGGAAAGAGAGAAAAAAAATTGATGTGTTTTCTGACCCCAGTGTCTGGAGAGTGTTTACACTGTTACAAGGAAACAAGAAAATGTACCTTTTGCAATGTCTCAAAATGCTGTCAGTACTCCTTTAACATACAATTCAAGAAAGAAAACAGCACAGATATAAGCATTGCTATCATGGTTCACCATGATATTTTACCTTTGTGATGCTTTCACAGTAAACTTATATAAAGATGGAGTTGCTCAAAATTAAATAGATGATGATGTGTGTGTGTATTCATATTCAAAATGTGCAGGGGCCAAACTAATTAACACGAGCAGTGCTGAAAAGAGATCAATGCATACAGACATTACGGGAATTTTTATGAAGACATTAAATGTAGAAATCGCTTGGAACTAACCGAGTGATGTTGTTGTTGGATGAGCAAATGAAAGCCATCAGAGCCTCAAGGGGCTCTTGTCGCAACACTCTGATTCCAGGGAGGTAATTAGCAGTTGCCTTGAATGTAGTGTCCACTTCACACCATTCAGTATAGAGGCTCTCCAAGTCAACTCCCAGTTGAAAGTAGTCCCTTAAGAGCTCTTCATTTTCTGAATTTGGCGAATTCTCCGCGCGTTTCCGTTTTCTGCTGCGAGGTACTGCGTTTGAATTATCAATATTTGGTGAGCATAGCCCATTATTAACGGCATTAAGCACCCGATAATGAAGATTTCCGTCGTCATCCTGCTTCAGGCACCATACCCTGCCCGCAAAAGTGCTAATCCATTCACAGTGATGCTTCTTCCACCTGCACGTAGAAAGAAGGCAATCAGCACCTTTTCGAAGTGACAAGTTCGTATGTATTTTTATTCCAGCTGCTACTGTTCACATATGATGAACTGTTCTACAGCCCATCCCAGTCAAAAAAAGTGAATGGGTCCAACTGGTCATACCAGTTCCCATGAATTGGTCCCAAATGGCATTAATTGGAAGCCAACTGGAATGCTGAACTTCAATAGGAAAGACCAATTGGACCTTATAGTTCCAATTGGCCAGTCCAATTGGTTCACCGCTGACCATTTGATCTCCAATTGGAATGCTTGTTAGTCCAATTGGCTGCCCACATTCCAATTGGAAAACCATTGGAACAGTGCATTCCAATTGGCCTCCCAATTGGCATCCCAAATGGTGTGCTTGTTGGTCCAATTGGTTGTACAACTACAATTTGGGAGAGTGTTGGAACATTGTTCTTTCAATTAAAATTTGTTTCATATACATAAAAGTTGATATTTGTTATTTACATGGCAACTTAATTTGCTATAGGCCAGGGCAGAATTCCAGGCTCAATTAATTGTCATGATTCTTATATATTGGAGTCAATTGAGCCATGTATACATATTTGAATTGAAAACTTCATTGTAGTGTGCATTAGGTTATGTTCTTCAGTCATTTATGTTCCTTATAAGCAACTTTTTTTTCTAGAGCTGTGGCGTTTACTATAAGGTACATTTTAACTCAAAACAGTGGGACAGTTATAGCATTAACAGTTAACATGAGTTTGAATATGGTACAATTAAAAATGCAGCTAGTTCTGCTGGTTTGTGACCTATAGCTGTGCTCATAGAAGCAGTACTTTCAGTCTCCTGCTGGGTGATTGCCTGGACAAAAATAGGCCCATTGCTACATGCAAGCCTCATCACTTGTTTTTGTCATTTTTTTTTCTTGGATATTTTGTGTAGACGAAGTAATAGTCACTGATGTGGGTATAAAATTAAAGGTTGAAGTTGGTGCACGAAAGCTGTAGTGCAAACGGAGTGTAAAAATCCAGCACAGCACACATGTTGTGGGAATTAGTCATATGCGAAGCAGTCAGCATGCGTCAGCCAATGCTGGAAATTTCATTTTGAGCCTTCAGCGTTACGAGGTGGATAGACATCTTTGTCCCAATTGATTAGCTCTGTGCATATTGTAGACTTTCCAGGCACATCAAGTACACTGACGCGTGAAAGGTAGCTTATGGCACAACATAACATCAGTGTTCCCATTGGAGCTTGCACTTCAGTTATATTACCATGAAGTGCATGCTATCGAGTGATGATGTGCTTATATACAGACAAGTGCAACCCTTGAATATTGCTCGCACAGTCCTAAGTGCACATATGTAAAGCTTATCACATTGATATAAAACAGGAAAGCCAACTCTGCAACTACTTTGTCCTGACAAGGTATTTTTCATTGTACAAGGTATCTTTCTAAAGTAGTTTGAAGCAGTGACTGAGTGGAGGCTGCCATGCAGAATTCCAGGGTTTGATTCTGGCTTCACCCACGATTTTTATTTTTTGCTGCCATCTGGATATTTCGCGACATGAGCTCATTCACACTGTTGTGTTAAGATTTCCAATGTCTGGCTGATATAGCCTGTGAATCACTCACAGCTAGTGGTGTGTGAATAGTGAAATTTCATCTTGATTCTAATGACGCCGAATAGTGGCCAAAATATAGAATACGTAACATTTTATTGAAAATTGAAAGGAAGAACAAATTAATGAAGTCAGCTTGTATCCTCAAGCACATAACGCAGTAAGTGAATGCTGCCGAATGACAACAAATTGTCCTATAATAATACTGTTGTCCTTCATCGTTCCAAGTGCTTCATGCCCAAAAATGGCAGCATTTCTTGCCTAATTATAGGTCTTGATATATCTTAATGGATAGACTATGCAACCTCTTTCTGCACAGTAGTGCTTTTGAAATTAATGAAATCACAGCAGTATAACCTTGGTGCTGTTTGTACAACAGAAGACAACCACGCATTTCCGAGAAAAGCTCGTGGCATTCCACCACAATATGTTTATTAAAATGGGCAAAAATACAACAAGTCCAGGCATAAGAACACTCAAACAAAACACAAAAATAATAATATGCATGAAATATATGTACATATGTAAAAAATAATACACAAATGCACAAAATTTGCACATAGTTGCATCTGAAATTAAATTACAAATTAACAGTGCACATAAAATTTCACAAGGTATAGCAACTTGAATGACATATGCCACTCTGACAAAACTGAGTGCCGAATACCCACTGCACACTGGCCATGACGTGCTTGCATTTAGGCAACTCAGACAATTTTAAGAGGTCAATGGATTTCCGTAAAATTTGCTGGTTAGCAATTTCCTTTACGTGACCTGCAGTTTCTGAGCATGCATGATCTTAGTTTTTCCTACGTTTAATTTAGTTTCAATAAAGTTCAATTGTTAGGCGGCGCTCATACTGTGTCCTCGTCCTGCGAGATGTCGTGTTCGCACCAAGTTTCAATGTACGGTCACTCACACCAGTGTCACTAGAGCTGCAATGCTGCTCATGTGCACAAACCCAGCTTGTAGTGCTATTATTTCACATAATGATGCCACAGAAGCATGGCTTTCATTATATATGTATCAAGAGTACAATGAGCAGCCACTGTACCTGCTTATGCAAACAAATGCACCAGTTGTTTTGCACTATCACTAGCACTCTTCCAAGGAAAATGAGCAAATGGAGAAAGCAGTGCCCCATAATCTCTTAGTGATTACACCTATGGCTTACTCAAAAAGGGCTAAAACACCTAAAATAGCTTGCTTAATTTTGAATGGCCTGGCAAAACAGAAAGAATTTACGATCGAAAACGATACATTCGAGAGTACACAAGAATATGTATACCTAGGACAACTACTCATGGGAGAACCTAACCACAAAAAGAAATTCACTGAAGAATAAGAATGGGCTGGAGCACATTCGTCAGGCACTCTCAAATAATGTCAGGAAATCTGCCACTATCATTAAAGAGAAAAGTATACAACCATGGCATACTGCCAATTCGGATGTATGGTGATAAACCATGGAGAATAATGAAACAGCTAGAGCGAAAGCTGAGGACCACGCAGCGTGCAATGAAACGTAGAATGGTAGGAATAACAATGAGAGACCGGAGGATGGTAGCATGGCTAAGAGAACAGACAGGAGTTGCAGATGTCCTAGCTGACATCAAGCGAAAAAAATGGACCTGGGCTGGTCTTGTAATGGGCTGGAGCACATTCGTCAGGCACTCTCAAATAATGTCAGGAAATCTGCCACTATCATTAAAGAGAAAAGTGTTCACCAGACAACTGGTGAACAATAAGAGCAACAGAATGGTTACCAAGCGATGGTCAACACAGTTGGGGAAGGCAGGGAGTTAGACAGAGCGACATAATTCGGAGGTTCCCAGGAATAAAATGGAATTAGCTCGCACAGGATATGGTAAACTGGAGATCATTGGGAGAGGCCTTCAACCTGCAGTGGACTAACACAGGCTGAGAATGATGATGATGCCCCGCCGCGGTGGTCTAGTGACTAAGGTACTCAGCTGCTGACCCGCAGGTCGCGGGATCAAATCCCGGCTGCGGCGGCTGCATTTTCGATGGAGGCGAAAATGCTGTAGGCCCGTGTGCTCAGATTTGGGTGCACGTTCAAGAACCCCAGGTGGTCGAAATTTCCGGAGCCCTCCACTACGGCGTCTCATAATCATATGGTGGTTTTGGGACGTTGAACCCCAAATATCAATCAATGATGATGATGATGATGATGAATTAGGGAACATAGAATTGTCGAAGAAGACTACAGAGAAAGAGTGCTGGGAGGTGCACATACATATGAAACATTTTCCACATTGATTAATACACTAACACTTCTTATTTCTAGAGGCTGAATAATTACTGTAGGAGACTGTTTGAATAACACTTTGTGCACATGGTTAACGGTCACCAAGTCATACTTTACTGGTCGGCACCGAAGTTTCCAGACACATATGCATGTGTTATCACCACTTGAAATGATCTTTTCAATAATGGCAAATGATCCATCCAAGAGTTGAACAACTGAAGTATTAGTCTTTTTCTTTGACGCGTACAAGCAGTCTGTCAGGATTGAACCGTTTACCATCATTCTTCTGTACTTTACAGAGGGTGGCAGAATTTCTTGCTCAGGTGATGAACAGGCTGGTGGAATACAAGAACCACTTCCAAAAAAACGGGTGCCATCACTGCTGCTTTTGCTTTTGTGAGTGACCTTGGCATCAAAAGAATTGCAATACAGCACCACGCTAGGGCTGGCAGTCAGATCCTGCAGCTCCATTACAGTGTTTTCAATCTGCAGAACTCTACACAGCTGGTGTGGAATTCCATTTGCAGCTTTGATGGCCTCTTTGAGGCTCCCATTTCCCGATTCAAATGGAAATGCGGAATGTGCCCACAGGGGTCCCCAGTCGTGGATACTCTTGACAATATGTGTCAGCTGGTGCATGTTATATGTCATGAAAGCTTTTCCAAAAAGCATTTCTGAGCGCACATGAAACTCTAACAAGAGTTTCTCTGCTCTGTTAACTTCAGCAGTTTCGATACTGCGCTGCAGCATAATATGTAAAGCTTCCACCAAGCATGCCCAATGCTCAAGGTATCTTCTCTCCAGAATACCATGGAGCACTGGGATGCTGTAATATAGTATCCAATTCTCCAGCTCTTTAGCTTTCCACCATCTCCGCTCTTTTGTTGCTCGCGGCAATCTTTTCACGTCTCTCGGTGGCCTGATAGCCAAAAGCCTCTCATCGACCATGTTTTGCTTGCGACTGAGGGAGTAGGCATAACCTGATGACTCAAACCACAAGTCTAAAAACTGCCGTGCTACACCGAGTAAAATACAGTGCATGTAGTCAGGGACAAAGCCTGATACGATATTAAAATAGGGCAGGCCGATCAACGGAGATGCTGTTTTAACACCATTAAC